TTGAAATTGACCCCTCCCTCAGTTCTTCTTGAAGTCACTTGACGCCAGTGTTCCTGAGCCATCCAGATAGCACACGTGTTTGAAGGTGTGCACGTCCCACCCCTATGCCCCAAGTCAATGCTGAGCTGGCCTGTCCTCCACTGTTTTTACCGTCGCGTGCAGCGAGCCTTACACCGACCAATTGGCTGATCAAGAAGCAGTTTAAGGACAACCCCCAAGGGCCTCTTGAATTATTTAACGTCACAAACAGGACAACGATCACAGCCAATGGAAGGTCAACCCGTCCGTATTTATCTAAAGACGTCCGGTTCTCGCCTCCCCTGTAGGGCTGGTCGGCCCCTCGTGACCTATCTATACCGCAGCAGGCAGACAAAGGACAAAGCATAAAAGCATGCGTGCTCTACTCCCGGTGGGTTGGCATGGTGACCGTGACCCAGTGCTTCGTGCAGGGCCCTTCAGATGGCAACACCCTTTCCTTCCAGATGCTTCACGTGAACAATGCCAACTCTCAAGGTTGAGTGCACTCCACTCCTCACATGAGAGCACTCTCAAAACAGAACACACATCCTCGTGGTAAGAAGTGTCGAAGAGGGTAGATAAGATTAGGAGCGACGTACCTCAATATAGCCGCCCCTAAGCACAAATGTTATCACCAAATGACCTGACGTCGATTGCGATGACCAGCATTATACCGCCGTTCCACCTCAGCCTCAATCGCGCTTCAGATAGTTCTCATCACACCGTGGAACACCCAACATCACCACTTCCGCCTTCTTGGCGATACCCCTCCTCCTGGGTCGCCTGCTTGCCTTTGCTTTCCTCACTGCACGCTACCCACGGTCGCTCCCCCAGCTACCAGCGTGCATGCACCACGTAAGCAGAAGACAAGCGCCAGATGAGCGCAAACGTACCACAACTCTGATACCAAAATGCAAGGAAATGAGCAATAGCGAAATTCAGAAACCAAGCCGCATCATACATATGAAACCAGATAGTCTTGAACTCAAATTACACCAAATAAGAGCACAAAAGAGCTCACAAATGACAATGTTGGAATAGTCTCGTCATCACCATCAATGAACTAATGTCGTTCCCCTATCTGGCGCTCAAAGCCCAGATTACAAATGGAAGATCCTATCTAGCCTATCTACAATGCCGCCGGTGATGTCAACAGCTTTCCAAAGTATGAGCAGATCTTGGCCAATGCCGTTCGCATCAAGCACCAGGTATGTCCCCGCTTCACTCACAACCTCGATCCTCCACTCAGATGCCACATGCACCCGAAGATCACTGTGAGCCTCACCCAGCACTGCGCAGGCCAGCCTGGCTATGGCTGCCTGCGATCACCCTGCTCGCCTGCTTCAGCAGCTGGCGCAGCAGCGAGTGCCCGAATGTCCAGCCAGCGGCCAGGCCCTTTCCTATATGGAATGTGGCGGTCAGTCGTGGACTGCCTGGCTGGCCTGGGCCTCTCCCCAGAAGCTTCCGGTAGGCCCTAAGTGGCTGAGCCCCTTTCCCAATCTTCCACAGGGCCTGGGGTGTCCAACTGCCAGGCGGGCTGTGTTCAGTTTGTGCCCCGTGTCTGGCCCAGGGCCTGCCTCCAATTCATTTGGAAAAAGGGCCAGGAGGCCCGAGATTTTGGTAGGCAGGTTCTGGGCTCACTCAACCAACTAACGCTGCGTAACTGCCTGAATTTCCCCCAGTTGCGTTAAACACAAAAATAAGCTTCTCTGCTCTTTTGTAATCCATGGTTGAAGGATTTCCAAGGAAAACCAAGAACACTAACAGTAAGAGATGCTAAGTGAGGAAATTGGTTGGAGCATGGAGTATGGCAAGTGAAACATCTATGGTCAGAAACTAATGGAAGATGGAAACTGGGTAGAGAATTGAGGGAGGAAATGAAGGGGTGTCATGGACTAATTGAAAACCTGAACGACATGTTAATCTCCATTCCGGAGGAGTGGACGAGGATATTGAGGGGTCCATACAAATGGGGCAGGGGTGATTGGGCAACTTGGTGCCATAGTGCCGAACCTCAGCATGACTTTCGCATCGGTCAAGAAGTAGGACCAGCTAAACAGTGGTTGGAAGCGGATATGTATACAATACTGACCCCAGGCACCACAGTGAGTCGTTTGGCTAAGACTCCAAAGTGCCGATCACCATCAAGAAGGATCTCTTGGGGAAGGTTAGGGTTATAGAGAATGACGAATTCACAATATATGCCCCAACGATCAACATTCAGAATCTGGAGGTGGATCCAGTAGAATGGGCATGGAACATCAGGGGAAGTGCGTCACGATTAGTCAAGAAAATTAGCATACTACAGTGTACGAATAAATTGGGGTATAGGCTCAAGAGAAGGTCGTACCAAATGGATAGGCCAAGCCTTCATGTTATCAGATTGGGCAAGGTCCGGAGTATGCAGTGGCTTATATTCCATGTGGCACTCCCAGTCAACGTCTGGTTATACGAAAAAAGGAGTAGACAGCATAGGGAAGAAACAGACCGAGACTGCACCATGTGCTCTCAGATGCCCGGAAGCAGAATACATATGGGAAATGGCTGGTACACTTTGGGAACGTATTACAGAGGTTCTCTTTCCAAGGAACACAAGACTGTTGCTCATAGGAAGGGTAGTACCTAAGAAATGGAAGGAAAGTGAAAATTTCATTTTTCAGTTATTGAGACAGTATACATTATGGATCTACTCTGAATGCTACTCATAGAAGACTACTACTAACCCTCTAACCTATTACTAACTCGCTGGGCAGCTATGGCTACTTCTCTTCCCCAGCGCCCAGTCTGCTTCTCCCTCTAGCGCATCTCCATCCTCCAGCGCTGCTCCTCCTGGCTGGCGCACAAGTGCTTCAGCACTTCCACGCACAGAATGCCAGTAGAGATCTGGCGTGAAATGAGGCTGGCTGCTTCCTTTATAGTGCTGGCCTCCTCACGCTGGGTCTGCATTGGCTCATTTCAGGCCTTCCTTTGTCCCAGACCCTGTATTGCATGTGTCCCAGTACTTGTCCCAATGAGGTTTGCTGCTGCTGAGGCCCTTCGGCCTGGATTTGGACTTGGACCTCTGAATCTGGACTGTTTATCAGACATAGACCAGAACTGGGACTCTGTTTATTGACTTACGTTGAACAGGCACAACTCTGAACGAACAGACACGATTACTGCCTGAACAGACATCTATATTGTGGGAATAGACACTCTCTTTCTGCACGAACAGGCACACTGATTTCACGTACAGACACATCCCTGTCTGAACAGACATGACATGTGCATCCCCTGGCGAACAGGTATAACCTTCGGCAATGACCTTTGGCACTGACTCCTTGCTTTAGTTTAGATGTGCCCCTTTGACCAGAGAACTTGACTCTTGATCTGTTTCACGTTTCCTGGGTCCTGGCGAGATACCCCTTCATGCTGCTTTACTTTTACAAGGCCTGAATCGGGTAAAGGCCCTTTTAAACACTATATAATCTATTGGAAACATATATTACGGCTCAATGGCAGAGAACGAGAATACGAGCATCGGTTAACCCGGAAACCGTGAAGGCTATTTACACGAAATTCCAGAACAAGGTATTTGCCAGGGGTAAAGTAGCGACCATAGAGGGACAGAGACTGACCTTTCATTGGTTCAAGGAGAAGAGAGGTGAGGCGTCTTTGGGGTCCAGGGGGAGACACAGGAAATGCAATTACCATAGGGATAGGAGGGTGGGTGAGAAAGTTGAAGCTAGATGATGTTATGTTTATGCAAAATAAAACCTATAATTGACGGTCTAGGGTTAAGGGTTTGGACAGATTTAGGACAAACATGGTTTGAAACAGCAAATTTGTTTGGAAGATCCCATGAGGAATCGTATGGCATAGGCAAAATGGGCACCTGTGGTAGTTTCTCGAGGGTCTAGGGTTTAGGGTTTAAGGAAATTGGTAGTAATGGCAGTTCTTACATTTTTCTTGTTTAGTCATGCCATATATGGCAGGTTTTGCAGGAACACCTGAGCGGAAAGGATGAAGAATGGCAAGCTGACAGTTAATCCTCCAATTGTTTTGGAGCAATCAATGCTGGTCAGGGGTCCTTCGGCCGAACGGAAGGAAGCATGGGTGATTATGATGTAATCTTTTATTCTGACTTGCCGGTGGAATAGGAACCGGACTGATGCTCCCCAGAATGGAAATGGAGCCAGGACCGTAAGGGCCTGTTTCAAAACAAAAAACAAAAAAAAACAAAAAAAAAAGCCTCTCGTCACTTGTAAGGCCCGCCTTTACTTAGGGCGCCCGTACTTGCTGATACAGGGCCCAGAAAAAGCTTACCGAGGCCTTGAGCCTTGCAGTTTTAAAAGTCTAATTCTTTGAAGCCCAACCAATTCAATTACCTGTCGAATCCAGACAGGATGGCCTTTCAGGCCTTTATTTATTGTCATTGTAGTATTATGGGGAACCCCTTAGCAGCCACATCTGTGCTCAAGCCTCCAACGAGGGAGCGTGCGGGAGCTGCACCAACCAGCAGGTTCGACACCTGCTACAGCAGGCTACAGCAGGTGGCTGATACCGGCCAGCAGCCACATCCGTGCGCAAGCCTCCAACGAGGGAGCATGCGGGAGCTGCACCAACCAGCAGGTGGGACACCTGCTACAGCAGGCTACAGCAGGTGGGCGATACCGGCCAGGGGTCAGCCGGGGTAGCATCAGGACCGAGCTTCCTCGATGGGCCAGTCGTTGTGCCTCCCCTCCGGTCCCCTCCCCCTATGAACATCAGCAGTGTCTTCTCAATGCCCGCTTGGTGGGACCAACGGCCTTTCTCTAGGTGGCAGGCACCAAGCTTGCCCAGGAAGGTACATGAGGCCAATGGGAATTGAACCCAAGACCTCCTGAATGCCAATTGCATGCCTTACCAACTGAGCTAGACCGCTGGACTCTTCGCGCTCTTGAATTTTGTTTGGAGCTCTGAATAATGTTGATGTTTGGCGCTGCTGTTTGCTGATGTGGCAGGAAGTGTTAAACTTGCAAACCTGTTCCGTGGACACATGGCCATGCCAGGATGGCTTTCCACAGTTCTCTGGCTGTAGCTTCAATGATTCACTTAGTGACAAAAATATTATTTGTCCCAGAACGACAGAGCATCCGGACCCCTTCAAGTGTTGTGGACACTGTACCTCTAAGCCTTCCGATCATGGCAGTTCAAGACGCATGCTATTTTTAGCGATAGGTGTACCTGTCCTAGTACTGATGATCCTAGCAGGGTTGTTGATTGGTTGCTGGCGCTGCCAGCTTTGCCGTGCATGCTGTTCACCACCTGATCTTCCACCTGGACCTCCATCAGTGCAAACAATTCCAAAAGAGAAGTATTGATCAGGGAACATAGAGACCCTGTAAATGTGAAAAGAGCGCTCCAGGCTCAGGAAATTCAGGGACGATAAAAGAGCTGGACTGCAGGAGAGAAACCACAACACATAGCAGCAGGCAAAGGAAGGGGGAGATGAAAGATACAGAGGACACACAGACTTGGGGGAGACACACTGACAGACTGAGAGATGGGGGGCGGACCAGGCGGCATACACACACACTGTCACACACACACACGCACGGAGAGAGAGAGAGAGAGAGAGAGAGAGAGAGAGAGAGAGAGAGTTACATATACTGGATTCCACACGGGCCTTATTAGGCCTGGCGGCTAGGTCTAGGGGGTTGTCCCAGACCATGGCCGCGCTGGGCCAGTCCGGCCTGGGCTAAAGGTCGGACCTTTGGCAAAGGCCGCCCTTAGGCTCTCAGGGGCTGTCAGTAGGCCCTGGTTTTCAGGTTGTCAGGCTGAAACAGACACGGGGCCTGTAGGCCCTGGTTTTCAGGCTGTCAGGCTGAAACAGACACGGGCGCTACTCCTACGGACCCTTAGTCTACCAGGTCGGGCTCTGCTGGGCCCGTGTGGTACGGAGTATGCCACACTGCTGCTGCAGGCCCTAAGTGGGAGACAGGTCCGAACGTTTTTCGTTTGGACCTGGCAGCAGAAGTTGAGGCTGCAGTTCCCTGGCGGGTCCGATCATTACCGCAGGTCGACCTGACAGTTCAGATCACAGCACGGTTTCACCAGCAGCTAGGCCGAACAGACCACCGCCGGTACTTAGTACCGGCCAGCGGCCTGTTCTGGAGGACTTTGAGACCAGCGGCTTCCAGGATATTTCAGCGCTGCGCTAGTTTGGTTTAGCGCAGCTCAAGGCAGTAGCGCTAGGTGTAGCGCTAGTTGCAGAGGTGAGAGAGAGTAAAGGGACTTACCTTGTACCTACCAGTGAGCTCCATAGCTCCAGCAGTGAGGGCAGGTCTTCGGCAACTCCAAGGTGGAACCTTGCGCCAGCAGGTTGGTACCTGGGCACTCGATCAGGGCAGTGAGGACTCTCCTCCTCCCCACCTCTCCATCTCCACCTTCTCCTCTGCCCCTCTCGGTTCATCATCATCATCATCTTCTTCTTCTTCTTCTTCTTCTTCTTCTTCATAATCATCATCTTCTTCTAACCTTCTACATTCTTGGTTACTATCTGGACAGAGATCAGTGGTGGGTTATCGGTGACAGGAGGACTGAGACTATTTCAGACTAGGACATTTGGAGGACTAATTTGGGAGATCTGACATTAGCGGCATTTCAAGATTCGGTATCTTCGATATTTCGGGATTACTGTTTCGGTGACATTTGTGTTGGCGCCATCTCCTCCTCCTCTCTTCTTCTCTTCCCCTACATTTCATCCGTGTGTGGGTTGTGCAGGCCCTGGCGCTATCTTCGATGTTTGGAGCTCCAGGCCTTCCCACCCGATGAATGTATGTCTGTGAGCCTGCATATAGTCCGAGTCAGGATGTGATTCAGATCCATGTTTATAAGTCTTCCACTGCATTATACTGCTCTTTGTTTATTGGTCGGTTCTGGGTTCTGCATCATACTTGTGTTCGCTTCACGAGTATGCAACGCACACACACACACACACACACACACACACACACACACACACACACACACACACACACACACACACACACACA